CCTTCCTTCCTTCCTTCCTTCCTTCCTTCCTTCCTTCCTCCCTCCCTCCCTCCCTGTACCTGCAGTCCCTTACCTGAAGATTCCCTCAACAGTTGATTGAGTGCTTCACATTCTACTTTCTTTTTCTTTGCAATCCAAATATTCCATCCAGAAGAAGTGCATTTGTGCATATCTGTTAGACTGAGGCCTAATGAAAGAGACAATCATTAGATAGGTTTGATTGTGCTATGGTGAGTCAGTGCAATCGTTTCTAAGATCAATAGGCAGCTCTTGCAGGGTTATATGCCACAAGTTAATCCTGCTACTTAGACAGGGCAAATGTGCTTATTTTAGGAATCAAAAGGTTCTATTTTTCTGCCTAAACCCAAACCCCAGTGACAACTCACCCGTTTTTAAAATGTATCTTAATAACAAATAGAATTAATATAACTCAACAATTCATAAAAGCAACACAATCCATGGATGGGAAAGGAAATGTAATAAACCAAATAGTGCCATGAGCTTTAGTAAGGATAAAAAAAAATGTTTTAAGAAATGCCTTAATAATGCTTACATTTGCTAAATGAATCTAGGAAGAAATTTCATACTGGAGACCATCACAGAAACAGCCCTGTCTGCATAGACCATCTGCCTTACTGGAAAGTCACATTATATTATTTATAGCTGAAATGGATGATTTTATGTAAAGAAGATTTAACTAACTGTAATTTCAATTTTAAACAAAATATTGTTTTAACTACAGTTAAATCACCTGACCCAGGGCCAACCTAGATAGGAAATATCCTGTAGCCCATGCATGGAGGTATCTTTAAAAATGATTCTTTTTCTCCCTTTGCAAATAGCAGAAGCAATGGATCTAGCACAGAGCCATGATTTAGGCAAAGGCTTAAAACTGAGTTGTGTAAGTCTTTGGAATTGGTTCTCAGAAGGGTTTTAGAGCACAAGGAGGCATGAATGTAGCAACCTCATGGCAAATCTTTAAAGCAACCATATTTTTTCCCAGGATCATGTTGCAGCTGTAGGAAGTAGCTGTAGAAACCTAAGAAAAGACACACCTATTTTAAAGACTTACACAGCCCCATATGTTCCAAAGCACTTTTTAAAATAAGAACTGAAATGCTGCACAGCTCTTGCATCTAAAGCTGTTCAGATTATTATCGTTGCTATTATTATTTCTTTTAATAATGTTCTTTTCTCTAACAAGGCACTGCTTACTACTAAGAAAATGCACTTTACTGTAGTGGAGCAAAAGCAAACTCATTTAGTTGTAACAATAGTATGATTTTAAATACAGAATTGTGTGCACTTGGGGTATAGCTTTTAGTTTTCATCATAACTGGTCATTTTTCTCTGCCTACTTTGTCCTAATACAGTGTTTCTCAACCTTGGTAACTTTAAGATGTGTGGACTTTAACTCCCAGAATTCCCCTAGCCAGCCATGCTGGCTG